TAAAACTATTAATCAACGTTAAATACTTTTTCTTGCCTCATTGATCCATTTTCCCTTTAAGCCTTTTAGAATATCCCATATACTGTGTTTTGTGTAGAAGTGCTCTAAAAAGTTGACTTGACGTTTACCTAGATACTGTTATCCAAATCAACACTCCTGAGGAAATTGGTATGATAGTCTCAAAACTTTGCAGAATCAGAATTGTGACATTTATTGAAACATGATTTGTCATTTGCAGGCCTGTTGGTGAATGCAGCCATACTCCTCCTACCATCGGTCTTCAAAGAAAATGCATCACAGCTCTTTGCAATAGATAAGGTTAGTCATTTGTGTTTGTGGGGGGCAACTTGAATTTGTTTATTTAAAAAAGGGAAATATATTTTCAGAAAATTAAGATAAAGTGCAATTTCAAAAATATGACATCTAATCTCAACAAACTAGCATTTTATGTGCAACTAAGCATATCAGAAAGCTTTGACTTTAAACATTACAGAATACAGCTTTAAGTTTCAAATGTTTTGTTTCAGGAACCACGAAGCCCAACACCCACAATTGTCCTGAGCAGCAGCGATGGCAAGCCCCTGAGTGACGGCACAGATGTTTTTGTAGCAGTGGATGGACAAAAAATGATGGTGGACAATGAAGACGCAGACGGTTCATTGGCCATGGGTGTTGTGTTGGCCCTCTATCGTTTTTGGAGGCATTTATCCTGAAGCTGGACACACGGGTACCTGTAGCTGTGCAGAGAGTGGCAAATGCTCTGAACATTTCTTAGATAGGACACTGCATGTAGCACATGGATTACATTGTATAGAGTTGATTTCTGACAATAAAGTGAAGTGCAGTACATCTACAGGTATTTCTTTTATCCACAAATCAATTTGCCATCATTTCCGTGCATGTAAAAGATGATTTTATAGATCACATCACAGAAAGGATCCTGGAATATGATCTCTAAAAAAGAGTGGGAACCCTGATTCCATTGTTATGCTGTTTAAATGTAAAAAAAAAATCACGTTCTTTAAAGAACCATTTATTCCTTGGAAGAACCATTTTTAGCTAAAGAACCATTTGAAAAGGGTTCTTTATGGAACCATTTGGGTCCATAAAGAACCTTTTTGAAAATGGTTCTTTAAAGAACCTTTTGTCTTTAGGTTCTTCAAAGAACCAGAAATGGTGCTTCAAAGAACCATTTTTTGAAGGTTCTTTGAGGCACCTTTGTGGGTTCTTTAAAGAACCGTTTAAGGAAATGGTTCTTTAAAGAACCCTGTTCGGAAAGGTTCTTTGTGGAACCAAAAATGGTTCTTCTATGGCATCACTCCGAAGAACCATTTTCGGTTCCAGATGGCACCTTTATTTTTCTGTGTGTACGGGAAAAACGCACTGACTTGTGCGCATTTCTTTAAATCAATTATGTCACTGACGTCACAGCAACACGATGAGCTCTTGCTCTCCCGAATGGCTTTAATTTGTTTTATATTTTAGTATTGGTTCCTAAATAGGTCTATACTGTATATTGACGCTAACATGTTTCTATCTGTCAGATCAGCAAAAACATTTTTGACTTCCTCTACTTTTCCCACAGACAAATGGTAGAATCTAAAAATGTATTTTATACAACTAATTAAACGTATCTTACATTTCGTGATAATAGCTTTGAAACTTAACTTTTCATTATTATTATTACCTTAAAAAAGAGGAATTGTATTTCGTGGGGATTGCTATGTATTTGTCTAATTATTGTATTAATGATAATGATACAGATGTCACATCTGACAATTAAGGCTAAAGATATCACATATCATTTGAAGTGATCCTATTAAAAGCTCTCACTTTGGCTGCGGGGCTAATGTGATTTCACAGACTGACACAAGCTCCTCAGCCCTGAATGTCCAAAGATCCAGTTCAAGGAAGACACTGATGTGATGTTTTCCAAAATATAATGGAAGGATTCTGACTATTATTTGCTAACTTGCTAGCGTTATCTGTCGGTCAGTACCTGACAGCTTGGGTGTGACTGACTACAAGGTAGATGGGTAGGTTACCGAGGAGGAAATGGGTTACAGTCTCTCATACAGTTAATTCCAATGGTGTTAAAGAGCATTGGGAGGTGCAGTTGTTGTGAATTTGCACACGCAACAAGTTTAATATCAATACAGTTTGAATAAACATGCAAACAGTGCTCTGTGCAGCAGCGGAGGCGGGGCTTCAAGGTTCTGAGGACCAAGTCGAGCATGTCGTCCACAGCTGGCCTTTACAGTCCCCGGCTCATTGACTGCACTCACTTTTGCTCCTGGATGATGGATATACTAACAGTATAACCAAATTCTTCTTCACGTGGAGTGAACATTCGATGAGCGGTAGTTAACCCCGTTCTTACAGGGGCTAAGCAATTTAGCCAAAATACAGGATGAGTGGCTGGATGGATACATGTGATGGTACCTTGAGTCTCCAAAGCTGCTTACTTGTCCTCTGTTGCTAGAATTAGCTGGTTTCCTTTTATAATTTCTATATTCACACTGAAATTTTAATTGAATTAGTCATTTAAATCCTATTTCAAAGATGCGATTGATATAATTGCAAAGTATTTTTTACAAAATACTTTAGTTTTTGCTCATATGGTCCCTGACACTGCCGCGCCTGCAATCTGCAACTGTGGCACTCTGAAATAGGCGTGGATGCTTGTATACAAGAGGGGTGGTGCCAATGATGTGTACATAGAGAGCAGCCCAGTGGCCAAACCAAAACAGGAAATCTATGGTTGAGCACTGGGTGGTTTGCAACTCTGCTACTCGTCTCTGAGTGTGGCTTCAAATGTCCATGTTTTGTCCTCTTCTCACCTTCCCGTCTCTTCTTCTTTTGTGCAACTTCACGTTTTGTGACCACAGAACATTGTGAGGATGATTTGGGTGATAAATTTAGAGGGAAACAACACCCAGAGCCACACCCATCATGGTGTGGCCACATTGCTTTCACCAAACCTCGGTCTTGAACAAAACACTGGCAGGGCTTCTTGGTTTTCTTGTGTGTGTGTGTGTGTGTGTATCTGTGTCCACTGTGTGCGTGTGCCCTCTTGTGACCCCATCTCTGTTTCAGTCAGCCTCATTTTGGCTCTATTTTGTGTGTGTGTTTGTGTGCACGCGGTATGTCTATCTTTGCATTTGCTGATTCATTTTAACAGCTTGTTAGCTTGTGTGTACATCTGCAAGTATGTTGTGAGGACACGCACACGCTCACAAAAACACACACACATACACACTCCTCCCACCCCTCTGTGTCTCTCTCCCTCTTTGCTCTGTAATAAGAGCAGCTGTGGTTGCCGTGAGGCCAAGTCTGATTCAATTGCAGTGCAGGACTTAAGGCTATTATCTCTTGCACACTGGAGGAGGAGGGAAGCCCGGCTGCTGTCGCACAGCTGCAAACAGCACTGACAGGTCTGATTGAGAGCAGGGCATTTCAACATCAGATACAGAAACAACCCTTGAAAGCAGAATTTCTTGCACGAAACTTCTAAAAAAAAACTGAATAAAAGCTTCTTGTGTACTTCCCCGCCTGGAGAAAATATAATTTAGTAAATTAGCCGTAAGGCTAGCTAGCCTCAACTAGCTGCAGTACACTGGCTGTGGTTTGTTTCTTTATCAATTGCTTCTATGGCATTTTGATATGTTAAAATGTGCAGACCTAATGAAAGATACAAGTGGCAACAAAACAGTTGGGACAACCAATACATCCCAACATGCAAAGTTTCATAAAAAAAGTAAGCTAATGCTAACACAACAAAGGTTGTGGATGTAATGCTAACTTTGCTTTCAGTTGGCTATCATCCATGTTTCTATCTTTAAGGATTAGGCCTACCATGATAGTAACTTTATTCATACAGCACCTTTAGAAACAGAGTTTACAAAGTCTTTTGACAGACAAAGTAAAGCAAACGCAAGGCCCAACAAAAGTAACACAAACTAAATGTAAACACTGATAAAACGGTACAACAGATGAAACATTAAAACCAATCGATTCAATGAGATGGCCTACACTACGCAACAAAAATGGTGACAGCTAGGGCCTTGGAGCCTTGGATCTTAGCTACAATTTCCCTTGCTGCCATACTGCCACACTCCTACACACTTTCTTGTGTCAATTATAGGCCACTGTAGCTCAAGGCGACATGACATTGTCCGTTAGAGAAAAGAACCAGTATTTTTTTTCTCCCTTGGTTTTTCTGAGTAGTGCCACAGAATGCCTGGAGGATGTAATTACGAGCTAATGTACGAGCGGGGAATTTGCCACATCAGACTTTGAACTGAAGGCAGCATCTTCCTTGGACAGCCGAGAGTGGCAGGGACAGAAATGGCGAAGGGAAGTAATTAAGAGTGAAAGAAAAGAGAGTAGAGACTGACGTATATGGAATTAGAAAAGGAATTGTGGCAAGAGAGGTGGGTGGAGAAGGGAAAAGGGAGATAGAAAAAGAGAGTCGGTAGAGCAAGAAGAAAATGAGGGAAATCAGAGGAAGGATGGGGGAAAATGAGTTATTAAGGGAAGGAGGTGGAGACGAGCTGAAGGCCTCTACAGCTTAATTAGGTGCAGAAGGAGGAGACACCTGCCAGATGAACACCCCCCCTCCCCTTCTCTTTCTCTCCCCTTTACAAACATGCAGATCTTTCTGAAAAAAATCTGAAAATAACAACACTTAAAAAACAGGCATCTGTTAGCCGGTGAGGTCCATGCTCTGCCCGTTGGGAGTCCCGCCCCCCCAAAAAAACCTCCTCCTCCTCCTCCATCAGCAACCCCAAGCGGATGTACCACTATGAATAATGTAACAGGGAGGGGTGGAGGCCACTGGGCGTGTGCGCAGGAAAAATAAAAAGGGGTATAGCTCCCCCTCCTCCTGCCTCTCCTTCACCACCGGCTTCTCTTTCCATTCTCCTCCCCTCCCCTTGCTCACCCAACCCCCTAGCTGCCGGACGCACTGGAGAAGGTCAGAGGGAGAACAGGAGGACCGAAAGGCAAAGGCACAGAGAGGCAGAGGGAGAGACAGGGGTGGGGTGCTTGGATGTACACGAACATGCCGAGAGGAGAGCGCGTGGACGAGCGATGACAGCCATGCTGAGCCCAAAGATCAGACAGACCAGGAGAGGTAGGATTCTTGTTTGTTTGCCTTTCACATCCACAGCACCTGCATTTGCTGCTTATTCGTCCGTAACTCTGTAGTGAGACTGCATCTGGCTCATCTGATCAGAGGATGTGTTCGTGATGCTTTACCTGCACTTTTACAATTACATTGTGATTTAATAAAAGTGCTTTTTTCTTTCTTTTAGAATTCTGAATTTACTCAAGAACATGTGTGCAGAAACACTCCCCCCCCCCATCTATTCTTCACATATTTCTGAATGAAGCTGCAGGTCTGCCCACGCAGGAAAGCACCAGTGTACATTAGCATTATACTACAGCTGGCCGATGCCTGCCAGTGTGACTTCTATTAAGAGGAGCGTGCAGCATCTCTAGTTTCATCACTGTAACGCTCAGCACTATCAGGCTGCCGTCAGCTGCTGCTGTGTGTGTGTGCGCTCACACTCGTATATGCACAGTGTGTGTGTGTGTTTGTGTGTATCTGCATTGGATGGATGTACTAATAAGTCCATGTGTATGAGTGTGTGTGTGTGTGTATGTGTGTGTGTGTGTGTGTGTCCTTCCTCGGCACTAATATCCATGACTGCAATTATAAAGCTGGATCTGATTAGGATGAAATGAATAGTTCCCAAGAATGGGAGGGCGATGTGTAAATCCTCCTCGCTGGAGCGGCATGAAATTGGCAGCAAAGTGGATTAAATCAGTATTTGCATGTATTAAGAACAGACTCATCTGGCTCGATGAGTAAGTGTGATCCACTGTGTACATCTTTTAAATTAGCTCTTAATTGATTGTCACGTGACACGGCGTAAAATAACTATAACAAACATCAGTTGCATTTGGTACATTTGTTTTGGTTCATTCGGTGAGTTAAGTGTTTGGTATGCATTTACAGAAGACCATATATGCGAAACATGCCAACAATCCGAAACGTAATTGTCTTGATACATTTAAGGTTTTGGAAATACAGCTCGGCCTCACATGCATTTCTGTCAAAACGGTGAAAATTGAAGCGATTAAAGCGTCTCTCTGAATCTGCGCGAGAAGCATTCCCAAGCATGCCTTCTGCAAACTGCCGCTTCACTGCTGACGGCATCGCATTTGTTGCATGAAGCCCATGCATAAACGGGTATGTGGCAGATGTGGTAGTGTAGTAGATGCTCGGCTGAGGTTACAGCAGGTCAAGAAAGGGACACAACGCTAACCAGTGAGCGACATTTTAGATGACTCAACGCCCGTCTGACACTCAGAGGACACTCAAAATGAACGATGAATCAATAATATAAATGTCATTGAATTTGTTTTTGTTTTATTGATCAAGCATGGCTGCGACATTCATGATCCTAGAAGGTCAGTGGAAAAGCTAACTAGTTTACATATAGTTTTTATAAGCTCGTCTTTGACTTTGGAAGGCCAGTGATAAGCTAACTGGCTCTCTCTTGCCTCTTTTTTCACTGAGTTCGACATTTTGGCGAGAGTCGGATGAGAAGATTGACACTGTCGTGTCTGTGCTCTACACACGATGCCTGAGCCAGGAGACAGTTAGCTTAGCTTAGCATAAAGACTGGAAGCTGGTGGCACCTCTTAAGCTCCCTAATCACCACTTTGTATCTTGTTTGTTTAGTCTCTAAAGGAGGGTGGTATCAATGTTCTCATCTAACCAAGAAAGCAAATAAGTGTGTATCCCAAAATGTGGAACTATTGCATAAACATCATTTCCCAACTGATTATATGGATTTGCCCCTGAGGGGTAATTCAATTATTATGAGATTATGCCATCCTTTCAGAGCAACTCATAATTGGAAATGCTTGTGTAAGTAAAAACCCAATTGGCCTCTAATCTAGGATGCCAGTAGAAGCAGTTCTCTAACTAGGAATGAATTCATCATCAATATCTGCTCCAAGGAAAGATCTGACATCTGTGCTTCAGTAACTGCTATACGACAGACAACATATCAAAAGCTGTAATATGGTTTTGGTTGTACTTTTCTTTGGCCGACACCATAAATAGCAGCTTTAATTGCCCACATATCAGTTGCTTCGTACTCTTGCTGTGCCTTTTTTGATCTGCGTTTCCATGGTTTTTATGATCAAAGTCCTGCACATATAGCAACACCCTGACATCCTGCCTTTCCATGGCATACGAATGAGCACCCTCACGACTAGATACTGTGAGTAAGAAGAGCGTGCCGCATGGATGAAACATTCACACACTGACACACTCGGGTAATGAGCATGCGGAGATGATAACATGCACAGAAATGCACAGATATGCGCACACGCACGGCTGCGGATCAGTTCTGCTCCACTGCAGTCTTCACATACTATATATATTATTGGCCATACCTCCAGCTAGTCAAGGAGGGCTGCCACACACACCCACACACACACACGCGCACACACACACAATGGTTAGCACATTAATCAACAGTGATAGGCTGACTGGAAGCCATGCACTGATGCACCTGTAACTCTCTTTGCCATTTTCAAAGAGCCATAAATCACCACACAACAACCAGATTAATGAAATTGAATTCCTCCAACATGCCTGCGGTCATTGTTGTGTGTGTATGTGATTTAGCCATCAGTGTAGCATTGTAGCTATTGTGGAGCACCTGCCTCGCCTTGCTAATGGATGGGCTCCTCTGCGATGTGCATGAGAGCCATACATCCATTTCCTGCTGATGATAAATGTACAACTCCAAACTGCATTAAGTGACATCAACTGGGGCTAGTGTGTGTGTGTGCGTGTGCGTGTGTGTGTGTGTGTGTGTGTGTGTGATAGAGAGAGAGAAATGGTAGCATAAATTCCCTTCATGTGCTTCACTGTTTGTTTTAAACATTGGTCTGCAGACTACCATTTGTTCACATGGTATCATAACTTGCATGTATGGACAGAGAGCTTTAGGAGACTGTCTTAATTACAACATTTGCATTTCTCATTTGATTGGTCACTTCCTGTGACAGATCAAGCATAAACATATTGTATTTGGGCAAATTGAAAGACTCTACAGAACCTCAGGTAGTGTTGATTCCGAGAAGCTTTGCTTAATGCGAACTTAGAATCTAGCCATGCTAACTGTTTAGGCTGTATTCGCCCAAGGTGATGATGATGTAGTGGCTACTGGGCTAGTTGGTGCACAAATGTAGTTGGCAAGCTAACCGCTAACACGCTCGCAAGCTGGAAACATGCCAAAGCTAGTCAGTCACAACTAAAGTGTAAATAAAAGTCTTTGTAGTATGTCATTAAAAAGTCATGAAACGTCAATTAAGTCATTCAAAGGACATATTCGGAACACAGACTCCTGTCTCTTAACTGTTTAAAAAACATGCTCCGTTTGTGGAGTAGGCGGCAACTGAGATTAAATCAACAAAGCTAATAAGCTACGATAGCTTCTTCCATTTTGGGCTCTGCGGCTCTCTGTTCCCGCACACATAAGCACTGCCAGAATGACTTTCTAATAGTCAGCAGTGCATGCCGAAATTAACCAAAGTAAACTAAAATAATGACAAAAAACAATCACTCAGACTTATTTGGTGAGCGAATCCACTAATTATGTTAATTCCATTTCAGAAAATGCCATTTTTAAATGCTGAGGTGACCAGGCCTTCAATCTGTCCGGGTTCTTGTGTTCAATTTCAAGCTTTTTGCTGTAAATTGTAGGTGAAGTCAAAGTGTCTACTCAGCAGCACCACCCACCAAGACACACGTTCATTATATCATGTTGATATCATGACTGAATGAGTCGCCAATCCATCTGGTGTTGTTGAATACATCAGCTCCATGCCCGTCAGTATTCTTCCATGACCAATTGACATTAATCGTCATTGGGGTACGTCATGAGAAAGAAATGTGGGAATACTGTACATCTGCACACAGACTCAGGCATGATGTTGAGCACCTATTATTGGACTCAGACCCATACTGTAAATAAATGAGCCACAAATGCGCTCTCTGTTTTGGTGAGTCGGAGTGATTATGCATGAAGCGGGCTTTTACAGTGAAACAGCCTCTTTTCAGCCTTGTAGTTGATAGTAGAAGAGACCACAGAGCAGCTCCACCCAAGCTAAGGAACGTCTGAATCACTCCGAGCAAAAAGGTCCAAATTGGCGCTGTGGGTAGACACACACACACACACACACACACACACACACACACACACTCAAAAATCAGTTGTTGTGACTCAAGCATGACTCATCGGCCAGTGTATGTTCCATTCAGTCTGTGATTGGGGACAGCTGAATCGTTAAACAGTGGTGCTCTTTTACGCTAACACTGGCAGAGTGAGGATGGATTTTAAGACATGACGTGATGTGATGAGGAAAGAAAGAGGGGTCAAAGTGGGGATGGGGAAGGTGAGTGCCACTTTTAGCTGGCAGTATAATAGAAAGAGGGTTTGAAGGTTCAGTTCACACTGCTGTGAGACACTAGCAAATAATCTGGGCCTGGTTGGTGTCCTCACTCCGGGGAGAAAGGGAGAGGGTGGCAGCGGGAGTAAGATCTTGATGGTCATCGCACACGTACGATCTTTAAATTCTAAATTCATCAAAGAGATAACCAAAGATGCAAAAGTTCGGAAGCCATTGGAAAACCCCAAAATTGTATCGTGACCGTTCTTTGAAACCAGGCATTAGCAAAGGCATGATACAGCATCTTACAGTGTCCATATACGGTATGTACGCTTGTAATACTCTTGATTAGTTCATATATGGTCAGTTTAGCTTGGTTGCAGGTAAGAGAGCTGCGTTTGTAAGAGACAAACAACCACAACATTAGCTTGTTGTTGTTTGAAGATGTAACACGTAGAGCTCTGATGCTGTTTTTAATTCAAACGTTCAGTGCTTAAGGCTTACAGGCAGAAATAAAACCCCTGTAACACATTACCCCTATTTGCGAAAAGCAATTAAGACGACTTTACAATGCATGAATTATCACCACCATTTGCAAAATGAATGGAAATAATTGTATTTTAAAAACAGCTAATGGAAATGTGCCTCTAATGCAAGAACTAATTTATTCTACAGAAAGTGCTCAGATGTGGTGCCAGAGATGAGAACAAGGATCCTGTTTTGTGTGCGCATGTGCCCTTTGTGCTCTCAGTAATAACAGAGCTTTGATTCAACAGGACCAGCGGTGCTGAACGTAAGGAGGGTTAGAAGAATTAGAGCGAGTCAAAGTAAGACAAATGGAGGGAGAAAAAGCAGTGAAAACAACAGAGCTGGAAAACACTGGAATTAACACAAGATGGATAAATGAGGAAAGCCAAGAGGAGACAGGCTGAACGGAGAAAGAGAGCAAAAGAGGGGAGCAAAATAAAAGGAACGAATGTCTATTAAAATTAAAAGTTATGGATACAGGAAGGAAGGAAAGGAGGAAACTGGATGAAACACTGGATAAGTCACCTTGCACATTATATTTAAATTGAATTAAACAAGCCATGTTCTTATAGAACCACATTGATCATCATGAAAGCAAATGACCAGATATTACATAAAGTCACATTATGACTGGTAAATCTGATTTTAAAAAAGTATCATTCTTTAGGTTTCTCAGTGAGCATATGAGAGACTACTGGACCTGTGAAGATTTCAGGAGACACTTTAAAGCTGCACTAATCAATGTTTTTATATCCTCACTTTGTAAAATGACTGTATGTTAGGTGGAAGGTATAGATCTGAGTGATGAACCAACATAGCGTTTGGTTAACATAATGGAGCATTTAGCAGCGAAAGAGACAGAAGTTTTCCTCAGGGGTTGATGGAGACCAAAACAGAGCTAAAAGGAGAGCAAATATTGGACCCCAATATTAGCCATTGGCTAACAAATTGGCTAACATCTGTTTAATTAAAGCTGCCGCTGTAGTTGTACGTTTATTTGATATCTGACGTTAGTAGAAATTGAAAACCTGCAGAAAAACACATTTTGAGTTTTATTTTTCCCATCGTCCTTTGTTTTATGAAATGCCAGGTGACAGTTTCCACTTAGCGTACTTCAATGTGTATGATGATTTTTATTTTTACATATCAAAAGCATAAAACAAATGTTTCTCATATGAAAATCGTTACACCAAAAACTTGTCTCTTTGGTAACCTAAAATCAGAAAGTCTACTCCTTTTCTTTACAAATAATCACCCAATCGTCCTTCATTCAACACGTCTGTGAGGATCAACAGGCTTTTACAAACTACCAGGAAAGGCTGTGAAATGAAATAAAGATGACTTGAGCCCTTTGCTTCAGGCTATCTGTAGGCTGGAGAAAGAGATGAAACAATAAAAAATAAACATTGATTTTTCTTCCCCCGCCCCATTCATACATCCCCTTCTTCCCTGTGGTCCATCAGAACATTGATTATCTGTGTGTGGGTGTGTGTGTGTATAATGCACAGCAGCAGGGAGGATGTCTGCACAATTGATTTCTATAAATTATACATTACCATCAAATAGCATCTCCTTGTTTGCCTCACCAGAATATAGCTCTCGTCTCAGCTCTGTGGCCTTTTCTCATTTATAGGAAACTTAAATATCTTCAGCCAGTTTCGTAAGTAACATAAATTATCCTCAAGTGATGACACATTGTTTTTTAAAAGGACAAGTGCTTTACATTGATGCATCATACACACATTATTCTTTAGTTTCTCAACTTTATTTCAGACGCAAACTGTAGGTGCATAACAAATAAAACATAAGACATGCAATACAATATGTGGACAACAGCACAAAGGTAACAATCGTTGCAGTTCACAAATCGACAGTGATTAATAAAAGACATAGAGATTTGTTGCAATGTTTCAAAAACAAGGAAAACCTTGTCACTGCATGTTTGTTTAGTTAAGGCCATTACAATTACATTTTTTGAATCAATTAACACATAAATGTTGTGTATAAAATTCCTCAACGCAGCATAAAAGGCGGGAACATTACTCGGCACAAACATGTGACTTGAACCTTTTCCATCTTGGGAGCTCGAGCGAGACTCTGAATGCATCATTAAACGCCACCTGAATCTTTTTTCCTTTTTCCTTTACTCTCAATTGCACCACAAGTGGGCTGTATAGAGTGGAGTGGGCTCCATAGAGGGCTGCTTTAACATCATCTGAACACGTATGAAATGTCCGTGCCAGCGCATTGGCTTGATCACATAGATCATAGCTGACAGACGTCATCCAAGTATCATACTTTGTTCACCACATTTAGCACTTGGTCTGCTATAAAAATGAAGAAGAAATTTAGCTCCTTTGGTGAAGCAATAGTGATAACACTCTTTTTAGTGTTGAATTTAATGTCATACTGCACATCATACAGACTCTGAGCGGTTGCTGTAAGCCAGCACTAGAGACAGGACTACTAAGTCATCAGCCTTAGGCTCTTTTAACTTTTTAGAAAGCTGGATATTTTACAGGATGTGTGATCTTTGACTGATAAAATATCATGATCAAATGTTGTCAAAAATGATACACGCCGCACTCTTAAATCTTTTTCCACAGCCGATGTCATACAAGGACAGTAGCCCCGCAGGGACAGAGCTGATGCCACACTGAAACACGGCTCTGTAGCTGCCATCCCCTCCCTTTGAAAGCTGTCCTTGACTGAGCTCAGGTTACACACATTTGTTGAGAATGATTCAGGCAGCCAGCCAGTCACTCAGCCAGTCAGTCGGTCCCATGTGGTCCTATTATACCCAGCTCAAACGTCCCCCCGCTATTCTATCGGGTTGTGGCAACACACAATGAGTCTCTCCCAAGGACCTCTGGAATAGAGGGAGGGGATCACTGTCACCTGAGGCTATGTCTGTGTGTGTGTGTGTGTGTGTGTGTGTGTGTGTGTGTGTGTGTTCCCCCAGCGCAATCTCTTTTTTTTTGATCTGCTTTCTGTTATTATTTGTGCCTGCTGCCTCTCTGCAGTCCCACTCCCCCCTTCATCTAGAGATGTCCCAGCCTGGGGCAGAAGGTTGTGTGTGTTCATGACTGAAGTGCCTGGCAGAGCATGTGTGTGTGTGTGTGTGCACACAGCATACACAATGAGGGATAACACAAGCTTCTATTAGGGAGTAAAATGAAAAGACACGAGCCAACAAAATGGAAGAAATCTAGCAGAACCACCAAATCAATCACCTTTAACCCTGCGTGTGTATACACAGAGTAAATCAATGCTTTATGTGTGTGTTTGTGTGTGTGTGTGTGTGTGTGTGTGTGTGTGTGTGTGTGTGTGTGTGTGTGTTTGCAGCCAGGTCCAAGAGCATGGTGATGGGCGAGGTGTCCCGGGGCCCGTGCCGGCCGGCCTCCCCCAGCCTCCAGGAAGGAGCACTGAAAGCTGGCTGGCTGAAGAAGCAGCGCAGCATCATGAAGAACTGGCAGCTACGCTGGTTTGTGCTGCGCTCGGATCAGCTCTTCTTCTACAAAGACGAGGATGAAACCAAACCACAGGTAACACTGCCGTCAGACAAAGTCAAACCAGGCTCAGTCACTGTTCTTTGGCTTGTGTGATTACATTTACACAAGTAATAAAATGACGAGTCAGACTGTTCAATGCAAGGCAGCAAGATAGAGGAGCAGTCTAAATGTATAATGAAAGGGGAATCCCACCGGTTTTACACATCCAAGTTTGTTTACAGGTCTTGGGCAGTGTCACGGTGATGTCACAGTGATGTCACTTGAGTCAGCAGTCGGGTCTGAAGATTATAAATTTGAAAATGGATCTGTGGGTGTGGCGTTAGAAAGAAGTGATCTTACAGACCTCTGGAGCCTGTTGCTGCTGCTCTGCTTGAGGCTAGCGGCTGGAAGCTATACAATACACCCTCTGACTGAACTGTCAGCAGTTTAACCGCACTGATGGTAATGTAGGCTTTGACTAGGACGAAAAATACATGGAATAAAAGAGACTTTATCTTTTTTTTTTCTCGAGTCCAACAAAAAGAACGGTGCTAAATCGGTGGAGTGCTCCTTTAAGAAATGTTCCAGCAGAGAATATAACATTTGTATTCACACTACTCTCAAAGTATGCAGCAGTTTTTATACTATCTTTGGTTTTATACATATGACTCAATATTTAGATTGTGTTTCATGAGCACTGTCTCCAGAATAACAGGTTCAACTAGATTGCTACGTTTTTGTTATTTTACTCCATAACACTATCTGCATGCTTTAAATGCCACGTTCTCACTGAACACTCCTAAGTCAAAAGTTTTGAAGTCACAGCCTGTCACAGTAGGAAAAGCACAGGTGTTACTAACATTAACGCTGGCATGCTCCCTATGTAGATACGAATTGCTCATTTATTTTTGCTGTACAAATACACGTTTTTACCATCGAAAGATACACAGTGTTGCCGTGTTATTAACTTGAAAATACCGTCTATAGTGCATTAGAACAAACAGCCCCGCAGCGTGTGACGCCTGGTTTCCTCCTCCATTAGTACACAGTCATAAAGATATTTCCAGAGCAAAACCTCTAATCGATCCCATTGCTCCTCTGTGATGAGGCATGTCTCTTGTGGCCAGGTGCTGACTCACATTTTCCCATTCTGAATGAAGTTCACAAGCATAAAGGGAGCTGGCCTAGACTGACCTCACATTCATGAAAAACCATGTTGGGATGGACAGTCACCGTAGCTGACAGGCTTACATAGTCGTAAACATGAGGCGATGATAGTAATCCAACAACAAAAGACAGCGGGGGCACACACACACACACACGCACACACACACACACACACACACAGCCTTTAGAGCTTAATAATCATCTCTTTACATTTCTGGCTGAAATCCCGACACTTTTATTGATTTCTTCAGTCTTCGCGCTGCATGACTGCTGTTCATTTAATGTAGGCAGCAGCCGTCACTGTCTTTTAGTCCATCACACACACACACACACACAGACACACACACGCGCGCATACACTCTACGTACACAGAATGACGTGTTCTCCTCCTCGCAGTCTCCTTTCTGTGGGGAACAACTGAGTGAAGGCTGTGACAGACTGTCTTTAATCAGAGCTTGCCAATATCCAGCCTATATTGATTTGCAACTCTCAGTGGATTCAAATCACACACATGGTTGAATGCACACACACACACACACATATACACTCAGAAGAATGCACATATGTGCATACACACACACAGATCCACCCCCATCAGAGAGCAGGATGTGTGAGGAAGTGTCACTCTGGCCTTTTTTCTCCCTCTCATCTTCTAATCGATAGACAATGCGAGACCGAGTGGAGTGGTGGGGGGGGGTTTAATGGTGAGGAGGGAGGGGGTTATGTCGGCAAATCGCTGCAACAGAACAAGACCCCCCTACCGAGATGAAAAGATGTGATAATTGGTTGAAGGTGGAGCAATACTGACGCAGGATCTATAGAGGGTTTCTTTTCCTTTTCATCATGTGGGGATAAATCCACTGCAGAACAAATGGACTTCACTTATCGGACAATAGATTTCTATTTTGGACAATAGACGAACACATGGCTGGTGGTGGATCGTTAGTACTCTGAATACAAAATGAGTCTCTTCATTAAAGATGAAGAAGCTGTATGTTTCAGAGTGGTGAGACGTGTTGTTTTGCTTCCATCGTTACTGCTGAATGCATGTTAGTGTGATGATTGATGTAAAGGCCACCTGTCAATCAAACAGGGCGGGTAGGGCCAGACACACAAAGCACATCACTTCCTGTATACCAGAGGAGAGTTTATTAACGGATCAAAGCACATTTCCAACTCTGTCCCTTAGATTTAGACTTCAGATTTTAGGTCATTTCCATCAGAATTCATTGCTGATGTACTGAACTGTGTATTTTTTGGAAAACTTGATTCATTTAAAAGTATTATCATTGCAGTAAGCTGTCTCTTGGGATCTGAGTCTGGTGTGGTCGGGTTTTGTCAGTAGTTTACTGCTACTGCTTTGACTGGGAGCCAGCGTCGGCTCAGGTTTGTGAGGAGACAGCGGTTGAAAGCCTGAAAGAAAGCTTCACGGCATGTGTTGAACAAGGGGAGCCTGAGTTGTTTATGAGTCTCTACTGACGGCACATGGTACCAATCAATAGCAGCGCCGTCATACGTGTGGGGACGTTGCCAAAAGTGAGAACGAGTCTTCCGGGGTTTCTGGTCCAGGATGCTGATTGGCACTTATGCGCAAACCAGGTTAAAGCGGGCGTGTCCACATCTGTTTGGGGGGCTTGTTAAAGGCTCAGTCATGCAGGCGCAGGTTCATATTGATTGCAACAAAACGTGAGCTCTCCCTCAAAGTCCCTCTGTCACCAGGCTGAGACGTATAAAAGGACAAAGTATGCCATCCATCTCACGTCTTCAGCTTGCACTGCTTCACTGTGTGATTTGTGTTCTCGGCTGACGTGTTGCCTCCTTATTCTTTCATCCCCGGCCAGCTCCTCCTGTTATTCCGAGCACATAGCACCCTTGGGAGCTCCCCCCCCCCCCCTACCCTGGTTCCTGCCCTGCCCCTGTGCTCCATCCATCTACAACTCCCACCCCTTCCATTTGTTGCCATGGCGACTAATGTTGGCGACAGCCCGGCCCTCCGGTTGAGGCGCTTTGGAAGACTCCCCTCCCTGTTTGATGGAGGATGCCAGCCTGCAGATTTAACGGGGCAGACCCACAGACGCTGGCATCCCTTCACAGCTCACTTGGCCTCAGTTCTCAGGGCTAAATGGGTATTGATCTGGATAATGTATTCTGATAATCTGTGTGGGTCCCTGTTCAATCACAGGAGTAGCTGCTTAAAATGTGAGAGGGGTTAAGAGTGGAGGGATAGGAAGGACGGACGTAAGGAAGGGGGGAGGAGAGAAATGAAGAAGAAGAGAGCAGAAGGTATGGGACAGTCCTACGAACGTGTCTATATGTGAGATCTGGAGCTTCGACCTATCAGTCACAGATTCACTCATAAAATTTGTTTCAGATAGAATGAACGTACAAACTCACTGGATACTAAGAAATCTTCTTAATCTCTCTCTCTCTCTCTCTCTCTCCCTTTCTCTGTTTCAGGGCTGTATACCTCTGCAGGGATGCCAGGTCAACGAACTCACAGCTAATCTGGACGAACCAGGAAGACACCTTTTTGAGATTGTACCAGGTGAGATCCCCCAGCTGCTCCCATGCCTCCTCCTCCACCAGCTGGTCCCAGTTACTCCACATCTATAAATCGTTCACTATAAATCACGTTTATGCTACTCTAGTTGGTGTAATATGAACACTCTCGGCAAGTTGTAAACTTGATAACTTTGTTTTGAAATATCAATATGGCAGTGTTGGTCATAAATAGGTCAAATGTAAGTCAAATCCAACATCGTCAACGGTCATCATACGGCACTTCACACGAAAAAGACAGAATTTTAAGTTAGCAGCAGTTTAGGTTCATTAGTTCAGTTAGTTTTACTTTAGTAAGTAAAAGAAAGAAAGCCAGTCATATACATACACTTACATATCTGCGGTCACGTGGTTTCAGGCCAATCCCATTCCTAAAGTAGAAGTTGAGAAATGTTCCTGGGTGTGTGCCTGATAATGGACACGGCATGGGTGACATCACGTTTGGTCCAGAGACAGTAGGAGTGCATCTATGTGGAGGAACCCTATAGCTGGTATAGAATGTGGGGAAATAATGTGCCTTTTAAGTGAGACACACCACAACAACACTATACAGATATTTACTTATTGAAAGAGTCCAAAAACACATCAAAGCTAAGATAAAACTGAAGCAAACATTGAGAAACTAAACGATATATTGTGTGTTCTTTTGTCTGTGCTATATTATTAAAGAAATCTGTTTTAAACAGACAGTTGCTATTCTGCATTCAGACAGCAGAGAGCACTGTTAGCCAAGGATTAGAGTGTGTGCTGGTCAATCTTACGCTGCGTGACCTTAGAGCTGGTGACAGGTCAAGTACAAGTATCACATTTCTAGCTGTGAAAGAAAATTCCTGCGAGTAGTGCCATAAAATAAAGAGGAAATAAAGCAGCCGCTCCATCATCCCGAGCTGCTCCGTGCCTGCAGATCTCAGGACTGCTGGTGAGCCGTCCAGCTTCCCGTGGTGCACTCACAGCTAACACACTGAGGCTTTGCCTGCGGCTGAACAGTCTGATTAGATTGACCTCGTACTTTCTACTCAATCAATACAGCACTTTGTTGTGTCTTGAAGTGTGATAGTATGTGCGTAGATGTGTTTTGAAGTGTTGTTAAGGGATATAGCAGAGAGCTGGGTGGAAGCCTTTAAGGGGCTTTTTGTACTATGACACCTCTGTTCAACAACCAAAGAACTAAACGTTTAATCTCAAAATCAAGTCCTGCAATTGAAACTGCAAGACAGCAGCTGAGCTCGGTTGGCTCTCTGTATATCACTCTGTCATTACGGGAGTGTTTGCTCGGAGGTCTCCCGCCTGTGTTTAGAATGGCCGACCGAGTGGTGAGTCTCTGTGTGTTCTGTTTATGGCCAGTCAACATAGCAGAGCGGTGAGAACCCCCAGTGAGTTTCTACGGAAGGGGCCGGCAGACGCTGAGAGACGAGGTGGGAGGGAAGGGAAGGGAAGGGAGGGGAAGGGAGGGGCAGATACAAAATGCAATCAGCCGGAGAGGAAAGTAGTCTGGTGGGGGAAAAGATGCACAGAGACAGGTATATGAAGATAAGGAGGCAGGTCGAAGGGTTAAAGACTTATTTAATGCATTTCATTGTAACCTGATGAAGACTTTAGGGTTTTAAATGGCGGCTCTCTCTCCATGCATGACAACATGATGCTGACTCCATCTTTCTGTTCACACCATATTAGATTTGCAGGCTCCTCGGGGAGAAGCACATGAGTTCCTCTGCTCTTTCTCCACGATGTAATCGGCTTACAGTGATGGAGGCTTTACCCACCCTTGTTGTACGAAATGAATAAGACTTTGGGCTTCACATTGTGTTAAAAGCACCGCTTCACGGAGGATGGTGCTTCCTCCCTATTTTTTTAAACAGTCATTATGGTGTCCAGTCATGTCTTGCAGCTTTTTCCTCACATCCGCAGCCAATTTTTTACTGAACAGCACAGCTTCAAACAGAGCGGCAGCAGCTTATTGGAAACTCTCAGCCAACACTAATCAGCAACAAGCTCAACAAGCACCGGTGCTCTTTTACACCTTCCGCTCTCATGTGCTTCTATTCTCTCCAGAGGGAAAGGAAAGGCCAGAGTGAGTCTTTACTGTTGGCAAGGACAGAGATCTCTCAGCCATCAATGAGGAGGAAGAAGAAGAGAAGAGTGACTCTTAATTGTCGTTCTTGATGAGTCCTTGAGTCCTGAACTCTTCATGGTTTAATGAAGACGGGATTTCTCGGGTTTTGTAATTTGATCCCCGGCTGTTCTTGGGCAAGACATTTTGGTTATTTTTGTTAATAATGCTGTCGAGCATCATTTTAGGTGAAATTGTCATTTCTTGCAAGAAGGTCTGAGAAACAAATTGCTCTACTAGAAAGGTTTAAGGCGTGTCGGCATGTATTCTGCATTGTTTAAAGATAAAACGGCTGTTTCAGGACTTTTGGATACTTCTCCCTCGAGGTCTGTAATTTTGAATAAGGACTCATTTATGTTTAGACAAGCACGCAGGCTAGAAGCAAATCCAAAGGGTTTAAGTGTATTCATTTTAAGGGAAGGCTGAAATAAATTCAGGATGAGTTGCTTTTTTGTCATACGACAATATGACTTTTTATGACTTTATCGACATACTATACTATGACTTTAATGACATACTAAGACTTTTTTCGATATGCTATACTTGACTTTATTATGACTTTTTTGACATATACTATTACTTTTTTCAACATACTATCCTATGATTTTTTTCGAAATACTATACTATGACTTTCTTTTTCTTTTTTTACATACCATATTACCAGAGTAAGTAAGTATATTACTATACTATGACTTATTCATGACTTTTTTATGAATGTTTCCGACAAACTATACTATGACATTTTTCTACATACTATACTGTGACTTAGTTATGACTTTTTCCGACATGCTATATGATTACTTTTTGTGACATACTATGACATATTCAACAGTATTCATCACTTTATTCAACACACTATACTATGACTTTGTTTTTGATGTACTATGACTTTATTCGCCATACTATGACTTTTTTATGGATTTTTTCGACAGACTATACTTTGACTCTTATAGTTTTTTCGACATACCATTCAATACTTTGTGACTTTCTCTACATACTATACAATGACAAACTGTAATATGGCTTTTTTAGGACTATTTTCCGCGTACTTTACTTTACATTACTTCTTGCTATTCTATACATTTTATTAACTTTTTGACAACATAATCAGAAACACTTTATTGATCACCAGAGGAAATTGGTACATTACAGTTGCTCTTATACATAAGCATAAAGAAATATGAAAAAATAACTAAATACATATGTGACATGTAAATAAATGTGAAATACAAATCGTACACATAATGCTACAATATGAATCAGAATATGTAGTGTTAATACAAGTAAATAACAAAAACAAGAAAATGCAATGAAATATACAAGATATGTGTGTAAATGTGTACATCAAAAACAGAATATACAACCACACACAGCATTAAGTGAATAAAATAGAAACATACTGAGAAGTGGGATCTTTAATGTTTTTTAAATATATAGGCAAGAATGGTATACATACTATACAATTGCTTTTATGATTTTTGTTTTACATACTATACCATGACTTTTATCAACATACTATACTATGACTCTTGGGTATATTATACTATGACTTTTTACGACCTTTTTTTTGACATACTATACTATCATCTACTGCATCATCCACTGACCTGTTTGCCTGGTAGGCTAACTGAAGGGCGGCCAGCAGGTGGTCCAACATCAGTCGCACGAAGGATTTCATCACCACCTATATGAGGGCAACAGGCATGTGGTCATCTGATGCTTTGATGGAGGGTTTCTTGGGGACCGGTATGATAGTGGAGTGTTTGAAGCAGGAGGGGACTTCACACAGCTTCAGTGATCTATTGAAGATCAGTGTGCCGGTCAGCACAGACTTTCAGACAGGAGGGTGACACACTGTCGGGGGCCAGGTGCTTTCCTTATCCTCTGTCTGTAAAAGGGCTGACACAGAAAAAACGTAGGTCACACAGTAGCTACGGTTAGGGAAAGATGTCTGGATGTGCTCAGAGCAGACAGGTTCTCAGGTGGTGATGTTCTGAGCAGAGGAGGAATTAACAATTAAGATGGTGAATAGTTATTCTTGGGGGGGGGGCAAAGACTCTTACATACTTTATGCTCATGTTTCTGTAACTATACGTGAATAAACTAGTTTCTCCTGGTTGATTAGACCACATGTCTCAAGATTTCTTTTGCAGTGCCAAACCAAATAATTCCACATCTCGGACACAATAGTATTCTTGGCATTTACAGTGTGAAGAGGAATGCAGATAACTAACTAAAGAAATGCTTAATATTTCTCAAAATGTATTAAAGGTCATATTGTGTGAGATTGCTGTTCTGTGTAGAGCCTCCACCTCCATCCTCCAACTTGAGGATGCAGGACTGTCATGGTTTTTTTTTTCTCTTGAACTTTGGATTGATACATTTTTTAAAGATGGAACATGCCGTATGTTCTTTGTCTGTTCAGGTATGGTGGCCACAATATTTGCTAAGAATAAACTAGATCTACAGTATATTGTCACTGTAGATTATTCAACAAGAACCTAACACGACCTCTGGCTGATCCTGCCTCAGTTTGGTTCATATTTAGAAAGTATGCCTGTTCATTAGTTTAGATGAAGCTATGGAGCCTGGAGAGTATTTTGTACATCTTGTATTTTCGTAGAAAACTGTTGAAATGAAACTTTTATGGAAGCACGCATCAACGCCATGCTTGTACTCTATATCGCTCTCGTGGCATTTTGAAGAAAGAGACGGAGCACTTGCTCACTTTCGGGTTATGACAATCAGTGATAGAAAGTGGAAAAAACAGATTTTTTTTCACACAATATTCCATGTCTACAGACATGTGTGTGTCTGCAACAAGTGTTAAGAAAGCAAAGTCTGCACTGCCTGTATCGCACAGAGATTGATTAGCATTGTCTGTTTCCCCTCTGTGTGTGTGTGCGTGTGTGTGCATACAAGTTTGTTTGGCAAAGATTGGAGGACAGCCCATCTCCCTGCCACACACACACACTCGGGGGGGGGGGGGGGGAGAAATAGAGAGAGAGAGAGAAGGACACAGAGAGAGAAGATCCTTGTTACATTCCTCCTCGGGGATTTGCTTCTCCCCAGGGGGGCTGAGGGAACGGACCTGCTGCCCACACTGCTGAATGAGAGAAAACAGGAAGAAAAGAGTGAATGAATGGACAGAATAAATGAGTGAAGGGCAAGAAGTGGGACTCGTTGGTTTCCAGCTGGCATCGAGCATGCCTCACTGGCAGGTTCTGGCCGTCAGTGCTACCTGCGTACTGAATTGCTTCCAAACGGGCATAGTGGTGACGGAGAAGCCGCTCCATGCTGCAGCTGTAGGCCAGCTCCAGCTCCAGCTCCAGCTCCAGCTCCAGCTCCAGCTCCAGCTCCAGCTCCAGCTCCAGCTCCAGCTGCAGCTCCAGCCTGCTCCGCTCACTCAGACATGGGGCCGGTGTGCTGCAAGCCGGACAGACTGAAGAAACAACGTCTCCAAGGTAACAGGAAACAGATGCTGGAGGTTTTTTTTTTTACAAGCGCTGTAGAGGCTGAAGCTGCAGCGCGTAAGTAGCTCTGAGATTGATGCAAGCACCTGATATACAACCTCTTCTTCTATGGCTTGTGTTTGTTGTTGTGCGTGGCAGTAAAAGGTAATGGCTCCTATAGTTAATGCTTCGTTTTTTTTGCAAGAAAAATCATTAGTCGAGATTATTGCACAAAAAAATCTTTATGTGCAAAGTTTTGCGGTAGCCCACCTACTTATGCAAAATGCAAAGTGAAGTATTACTCACTTTCATATCCTGATATGATGTACCCAAGCGGCTTATAATTACTTTTATTAGCAGTTACTGTAGCTGCATGATTGCTGTACTTTGTGTCACACGTTGCAGTAGATACAGTATGTTGAGCTGGGAGCTTGTTGTGTCCACAGCAGTAAAACAAGAGGTCAGATATGAAAAGCGTCTCTCTTTGGTTTTTTGTGATTTCATACCATTTCTTATTGTTTCTCTCTCTCTCATACATAATACCAATAATAAGCAGCACGGAGGTCATATATAGTTAATCCCCAAGCGATTCACAGCGCCCAATCATCAGTCACAATGGGGGGTGTGACCTGAGGGACATAAACCACACCAAAGGCTGAAGAGCAGTGGTTACTGTTTGGTTGATTTGATAAAGCAGCTAAATGCTAAACTGTGAAGGGGATAAAACACGTCTCTAGCATGTGACTTTGCAGCCAGCCTGGCTCCTCCAGAGGTAAATAAAAAAACAACAGTTCTACTAAAGCTCACTAGTTCAAAAGGTAGTATAAAAAGAAATGCTTCTCAGCTCACTGCACAGTGCGTAAGAGCAAAATGTCTGATCTCGTGAGACGATTGACAATCTAACGTATTCAAAGGTGCATTACATCACCTGACTCTCTCTCTCTCTCTCTCTCTCTCTCTCTCTCTCTCTCTCTCTCTCCATCTTGACAGTTGAACCAGCTCGCACCATGACACCAGAAAGGATTTCAGCACAATAAGAGTTACCTGTTCTATTTCCTGTTCGTCTCTCCTTGTCCTCATCTCCCATTCAACAGCGTCCGCGACGCAGGCTGACATTTACCAACGGAAGCTATGATGTCTTCAGTTCTTAAATGTCAGACACTCAAAAAGGCACACATGCTGCAGACAGTCTACCTTCTCTGTGGCACAAATGTCACCGTCTGTCTGATGATCGCACCGTGGAAATCTAATTGGATCCTGAGACTGTGAGAGGTGTGCCTGAGACTGTTTGAGGTGTGCCTGCAGTCAGTGTTATCTCAATTGGCTCCAAATGGATTCTTTGTACTCCTCATCCACACAGACTTGGATGTTCCAATACTTATTGGTGTCTGTCGGCTATGTTGGGATTGATTTCAAGTGGCTCTGCATGTGTGTGTGTGTGTGTGTGTGTCTTATCAGCGCCTGATTCATTGAAGTGGAAGTATTTGATATGCAAAGGCTCCTTAATGTCTGAGCGTCCTCTCTGTATCTTCAATCACCCTTTTGATTGGCCTCTTTTCTTCAGGGCAAATTAATTTAGAGGATATTATGCACAGTGTACACTCACACACACACACACACACACACACACACACACACACACACACATTAATCAAGGCAAAATGTAAAATAATGCCAAATCCTCAGTTGACTATTTCCATCTGAAGACGGTTCATCCTGTTGTTCATCAGGACAGTGTGAGTTTGCGAAGCTGGGTGACAATGGCACTTAGCTTTACGGCACCGCTGTTTGTATTTGGATTCCCTCCTCACAGCTTAATGACTGTGACAACAACACCATGCAACACTAATGGCTCGGACAAACGGGAAACAGATGACACATTCTCCGGGTTATTTCAAAGTGTGGCTGGAGACGAAGGCGGTGGGGTCAAGATAAGATATATACGTGCGGCCTCTGGTGTTAATGTAGTTTGTATGTAGCAGCCGGTCATGTTTCACACCGTTTTTGTTTCGTGTGTTGAGGCGCCGCCTCACTGATGTTTATGAGGTCAAAATAATTTAGCTCGTTCAACTTCTGCACTCACGAAAATCTGCTCCGGATCACCGGCTGAATGCCTGAAATGAAATGGTGCAATCATAGGAAGAGAGGGTGAGAGGAGAAACACAGAGTGCAGAGTGCATAACAGGACAGTTGTGCCATCTAGTGGTGGGAAACCGTTACAGCACATTGGGTTAAGATTTGAAGTCAACCCCATTTTTTGGTTTTGTTTTGTTTAAAAGCTGAAACCTGAGGGACTAGTTAGTACGGTATGTTAAAACATACACACCAGAGTTTTACAATGCCGTACTGAGAGTATTTTATGATTCTTTTCCTGTAAATAATACCTGATGTGCCGCAAATACACCGACATCCAATAAGGTTACTGAAAGAAAGGTAACCAGTATATGTGATTGACATTAAAGCATCTGTAATAAAGAAAAATTAGGAACTAGGGAATTTGGGAAATGGTTCAAGCGGTTGAAACATGATGTAAAAACTACACTATTCAACATACTGGGTTGTGTCCTTCCTCCAGGTGGAACAGGAGAGAAGGACCGGGCACCGATCAGCCATGAGTCCTTCCTGCTGATGGCAAATTCCCAGACGGACATGGATGACTGGGTCAAGGCCATACGGCGGGTCATCTGGGCGCCTTTCGGAGGAGGTAAAGCCGAACCCTTTGAACTGAAACGCGAGAAACACAATCAGCACGGCGAAAGATCTTCATCCTTGAGGCCGCTTGATCTCATGGGAATGGGCAACAATTAAAACTCAAGGCTGTTCTGATGCAACATGTGGGTTGCGGGAAGCCTAAATTAACAACACATACCAAATTCCAGCTACAGAAAGATCAGAATATTACTTATTCAAATGTTTTATATAGCCAATAATCATTGGAAGAAGTGCCATCCTAAGACAGGGAGTTTTCATTTCCCTTCTACCCGTGTAGGCTCCAGCGATCGCGCAACACGAGGCTGCAAAGACAGCAGGTTCTGGTGTGTCCCCCCCCCCCCCCCCATGTAACAGGGAGCCTGTGGTTAATTCTCACCCTGTCTGTGCTCTGTCTGGCTGTCTAACTGATGTACTTGACGGGAGGCCAGAAATATAAGCAGGCCTGTCTGTCTGGGTGTGAACGGGGACTTAAGGAGCAGCTGAACAGCATGGTGTTACGTTAGAGGTATATTAATAGGGGGATAAATGTGGAATAACACACCAGTCATATACAGTAGTGTTTAACATCACTGGTCTCATTTGACACTTCATTTTTAAGGTTTGAGCTCTGTTGGCAGAGAGGGAACACGGTGCCAACTACTAGAGCTTCAATCAATGAGGATTTGTATTTCATCATTAGTTTTGACCAATAAATGTATTGAATTATGCCAATTTCAAGTTTTGCTAGACCAAAGTACTGTCTGACAATTACAGAACACAGAAAAAAACTGTATATCTGTAAATATTAGGTAGTTTTACTTGAAATTAGCAGTTACAAACAATTTGGTATTTGGCCTCCGCTGCACAATAAAACTTTTTTTAACCTTTTTCTAACGCTGCAAAACTGTTTATATATATATATATATATATTAAAATATAAAATTTTAAATATATATATTTAAATATTACATATACATATATAGATATATTAAATATCTGTAATGGGTGCTAGTTCTAGTAGCTGTATTGGTATACATGAGCAGTACAAACTGGAGCTGTATAGCTGCATGTCAACTTTAAATGAAAATCTTTTTTCAGGGATGTGTGTCTGTTATCTTCTTCAATTTGGTTGTTGCAGCTTACATTTTGTAAATACTTATAGTATTATTACATGCTACTTATTTTAAATTTGCTTTAAAAAAAACACACAAAATCCAGCTGTCGTAGAGGGGGGGTGTCTAAATCCTATAGCTACACCCCTGCTCGCTGGTGTAGGCCCTCCTCACACCGGTAATATCTACAGCCTCCCTCTCATATTTAGACGGTAGGTGTGTCCGTCTCTCGGTTCTCGGTCCAGAATAGATGTGTCGCCAACTCGCAGGCCCGTCGTTAAACCGCAGCACCGCGGACACCGGCGCGCTGACCCGACCACCCGTCAGCCTGCTGCCGCTTTTCTAAACCGTTGCTCGTTACCGCCGCGCAGGAGTTTGTAAATGCGGGATTAATCCGCCGGTGGGGTGAAATGCCTGAACCGGAATGGCTGAACTTGGTCAAGTGTGGGTTTGGGATGTACGAGAAACGCGCTCTGCTGCCGTGCAGCTCCTGTTCGGTGAATCACTACGATTACAGCGAGCTGACCGACAGCTGCGACCGCTGCAGCCAATCAACAGGTAACAATTATTTCATTAGCCAATCAAACACGTTTAGCTATTAAGCGTGCCACCATTTAGCTAAGCGGTCATTTTCCAGTACTTGTAATGCTATTTTTATTATTACTTTTGTTTACGTTTGTATAGTTGAGAGATTACTAAATAGAGGTTTATTTATTTATTTTTAATTTTTTTTTTTTTTGGGGGGGCAACATACTTAACATGAGGAATAAAAGTATGCTGATTCAGTCACAGGTTTTCATGGTGCACTCTCCTCACATACTGACGGTTAGAGAGTATTTACACCAAGACATGCATCATGCAAAGGTCTCCATATCTACAGTCTAAAGCATTAAATCTAGTGTTCATGTTAGTGTAATGTAAAACGGGCAACAGCGTGCAGTACAGTAGGGCCAATTGTTCCAGCTTTCTAACACACCGTTACATTCAATATTCAAGTTAAAATTTGGTTGCACTCCTTGCTATTATTGGGTTCTTCAAGTTGCATTTAGCTTCCATGTCTCAACAATATCATTTCACGTGGACACATTGGCTCACGTGTTCCTATTACATCACATTGTATACATATAGCTACAATGGGCCTGCTTCTTTAAAATAACCAGTCGCTCCAGACTTCATACCAGCCCGATATAACCCAGTGCCATCAGTGGATGCATGAATCTGATGGAGCTGAAGTGCCAATGTGGTGTGTCCTCCATCTGTCCATAGGGATATTCGGTCAGCGTTTGGAGGACACCGTGCAGTATGAGAAGAAGTTTGGCCCCCGGCTGGCCCCCTTGCTGGTGGAGCAGTGCGTGGACTTCATCAGGGAGAGGGGTTTGGATGAGGAGGGCCTCTTTCGGATGCCGGGACAGGCCAACCTGGTGAAAGAGCTGCAGGAGGCCTTCGACTGCGGCGACAAGCCTCTGTTCGACAGGTAGACAGAGCGGAGCGTTACAAGAGCACACCGGCTTTTTTTTTGAGAAGATAATCATAGAACATGCACGTTGACAAATTTCTCTCTGTACTCGCCTGCAGTAATACAGACGTCCACACGGTGGCATCCTTGCTGAAGTTGTACCTGCGAGAGCTGCCTGAACCAGTCATTCCCTTCTCCAAATATGAAGACTTCCTGAGCTGTGCACAGCTTTTGGCCAAAGATGAGGAGGAGGTATGTGCGATAGACAATGTGTGTGTGTGTGTGTGTGTGTGTGTGTGTGTGTGTGTGTGTGTGTGTGTGTGTGTGTGTGTGTGTGTGTGTGTGTGTGTGTGTGTGTGTGTGTGTGTGTGTGTGTGTGTGTGTGTGTGTGAGTGTGTGAGTGTGTGTGTGTGTGTGTGTGTGTGTGTGTGTCTAACAGCTGTTTTATCTCTCATCAGGGGGTCCAGGAGCTGGAGAAGCAGGTCAACACTCTACCTCTCCCCAACTACAATCTCCTCACGTACATATGCAAGTAAGTATTTTATCTCGTGGTGTCATCGAGTTTCTAAGAACTTTTGACTTATATCTATCTGCTCAGATTCCTCGATGAGGTCCAGTCCCACTGCATTGAGAACAAAATGAGCGTCCAGAACCTCGCCACAGTATTTGGACCAAATATCCTCCGACCCAAGATGGAGGACCCGGTCACCATCATGGAAGGTAATGGGCGACGTTCACTGACTGAAATAATGGTTAAAGTCTCTGCAAACTAACCCTGAAAGTGTACTCCACACCACAATGCTGCTTTGACATCACACTACACCTTGTAGTATTAGCAAATATATCTTTAGCTAGCTGTATGTGCGGGATGAAAACAGAAATAATAACGCTGTACTATATCCTGTCTGACTGTGATCCATAGGCACCTCCCTGGTCCAGCACCTGATGACAATCCTTATTAGGGAACACAACCGTTTGTACTCAGGGAGGGACCAGGAGGGATCCGCCGTTCCCCAATCAGAGCTCCCTGTCCAGGGGCATCAGCTCCAGCATCGCAGCCTGGGAGCCTGGATCTCGGAGGAAGACCTCCAGAGCTGCCCGGTGTCCAACCCCGACCAAGAGCTGCACAGCAGTGCCTCATCTCTGGATGCCAAACTGTGTGCAGCCCTCACTCCCACCCAGACCCCGAACCTGAACCCTGGACCAAAGCTGGGGTCTCCATCGGGGAAAGGAGAGACTGTGGTCAGCCCGAGCAAACAAGCCAAGACCATACCCTCCTGGAAATACTCTTTCAAAAGCTCCTCGGGCAAGCCAAGCAGCAGCAGCAGCGGCGGCGGCGGCGGCAGCTCTGTGGCAGATGTTGCTAGTGTATCTTCTGGTGGGGGAGGAGGTGGAGGTAACTGGCTCATGAACGGCCTGTCCTCTTTGAGGGGACACCGCCGCACGTCGTCAGGCGAGCGGTCCGCCCGTGACCGCGACTCCACGGGCTCCTCACAGAGACTGTCCACCTACGACAACGTCACCTCCTCCTCGAGCATGGGGAGCGTCCCAAGCGTCGCCAGCACACCGTGGTCCACTTCCTCCTGCGAGATCTCCGTCCCCGACTCGGGGAGCGAGCCCTCGGCCAACCAGAACTGCGGAGCAGGGGGCGAAAGCGGGGGGAAAGGGGAGTGGATGGAGAGCCAGAGGGAGGTTGACAGGGGACGGGACGGAGGGGCCACGACAGACCCGAGCTCTGAGCAGGACAGCTGCGAGGCCATGGAGCTGTGCAGCAGCAGCGCGGCCTGCAGCGAGAATGGAAACGCGGCGGTGGCAGCGGCGGCCGGGGTGCCGTCCATTGTCACGTCGGAGGACGGAGACGGGACAGTAACACTGAGCAGCCTGGTGGAGGGACTGAAGGACGAGTTGAGGAAGCAGAAGACTACATACGAGACCAGGATCCAAAAGTAAGTCTGGGGGTTCCTTTTTTTCATTTTTTCAATCCTGTAAGCTTTCCTAAAACAATTTCAATCAATCATAATCAAAACTACCTCAATGGTTAGCTGCAAATAGAGGTGATTATTATTTAAGATGTCATTTCTATGTGACAAAAAAACAAACATACGTGGTGCCGCTTTAAATTTAACACATTTTGTCGTGTAGCCCAACAGTAAAGGTGACCGTCAATGACCTCTGCTCTCTGTCTATGCCACGCTGCGTCTCCTCAGGCTGGAGGAGTCCAGCGCTGCTCTGTGTGCGCAGATGGAGCACTTGGAACAAGAGATGGAGCAGGAAAGGAAGAAGCAACGCATGCTGGAGATCAAACTACGGAACTCGGAGCGGGCGCGGGAGGATGCGGAAAACCGCAACCGGCTCCTGGAGAAGGAGATGGAGGATTTCTTCTCCACACTGGGAGATCTGGCCCTGGGCGCGAGGACTAGTGATATTTGATGCGCCATCCGTTTGTGGCTAAAACTGTCAGGGTTTGTATTTTAGGGAGGAGGGGGGTGGTGTCTTTCAAGGGCTCACTTCCTCCTCGTTGTATCAGGGCGTTCCTCTCAAAGAAAAATTAAAAACAAGAAAACAAAAGGAACCCCGCCAAATTTGTGTACATTCAGGACAAACTCAAAGGGAACTCGTAGATGACGAAGATGAGGGCTCAAATATCAAATTGCAATGAACTGCGTGGTCCTTGTCAGAATCATCTTCATTGAGCACCCGGGTGGTTTTTTTTGAGTTTCTCACGCATGCTTGAAATGGACCGTGAAGAGAAGACGACGGCTCTTGTGGTTACGCTCCTTGGTGTGTCCAGGGTTTGTCTTGTGAAGGCTTCAGGTTCCTGTATGCGACCGGTAAATTCGGAAAATTCTCTAGACCGGAGAGCACTGACTTCTGCACAAGGACACTACATGAGTGTATGTCCCACTGTATGACTCACGAGAGAAGGTGTTAATGCAGACAGCGGACTGAAATTGACCTTTTGAGGACCAGTGCTACATTTTGGGAAATAGACATGATTTCTTGACGAGAGTTAGGTGAAAAGTTTGATACCACTCTCATGTCTGTAGGATCTGTATGAAGCTACAGCCAGCAGCCAAGTAGCCTAGCAAAATAAAAATAAAATTCTGCTGACTAATATTTGTAAAGCTAACTAATTAACATGTTGTATCTTGTCTGTTTAAGTACATAGCTTTATATTTAGCAGATTTTTTGTTTTACTTTTGGATTTATTTATTTTAATTTGGTAGTGACTGTTGAAAACCAGTGTAGTACAGATATTTGTCGGGACGCGGGACACCCTGCTTGAAACCGGGACATCTGGTCACCTATCCATATGTATCCTACAGACATCAGAGCACTATCAAACGTCTCATCCAAGCTAAGAGAGCAAATGAGTGTATTTCCCAAAATGTCATGCTATTCCTGTAACCGGAAGGTCAGTTCAGCCAAATTCAGAAAAACAACATTTTCTCACTAGCCTGTAGGGGCTGCTAGCTCATGCAAATTGCTTTGTTTGTTGGCCAGGTGTTGAAGTTGCAAAGGAGTTTTGTGAAGTACCCAGACCAACAGGTTTACTTTTTCTGGAAGGACAATGTTGCTGAAATGGAATGAACTGTAGTTTGTAACACTGCGAGCACCAGTAACGGCATTTAAATCCCCTGCATTTGTTGTTTTTAGGTTTTTCTCAGCTATCTCAAAACCCGTGTATATAAAACCCCTTTCTTTGTAATCTGAGTGAACTGACCGGTACACTGTACAGTGGTAGCTTAGGCAGAAGTTCCTCCACTTGCATATATCCCTCCTGTATGCGTGCTGCAGAAGTTTTCTTTTTTCCTGGATGTTTTACTGTAGAATCAAATGTGTATATCGTAACACAAAAGCAGGTTTAGAAAAGCTAGAGTTTCCAAACCATTCCTTTGATAGGCGGAACCTCTGCGACAGCTGCCTCTGTACCTCCTGTCTCCTCAGGCCCTTCCAGTGCCTCTACACCTCGTCACCATCTGCATGGTCTCCACGTCCATTCGATGGCAAAGCCTCGGTCTTCGGTTCGGTCCGATCCACACAGATGTCAATGTACCTTTTTATTAATGTACAGATACTACAACAGGGACAACGATTATTCAAGCATTTGTGCATGTTGCCTGGGACACAGGACACGTGGCTCAGTAGGTGAAGGCCATTTACAGTACACAGTAAATACCAAAGCTGGACCGCCTCAGCTGTTCGCTCACTAACGATCGGAATGGCCCGGCCCCGACGCCATGTTGATTTTGGCACATGAAGCTGAGCACTGCCCTCAAAGAAACAATGGAGTTTCCTGGTTGTGCCTTCAGGGAAGTGTTTTCAAAAAAAAGGAAAAATGTATGTGTTGCTTGCTTGTCCAGAGATGTAGTGAATATAATCACCCATAGTGCACACAGTAGCTGCATTGTCCCCCCCCCCCCCCACAAACACACACTTTATTTTTGGTTTATATGGCAACAGACTGTCCCTAGAAGGTGCCAATTCTCGTGAAAGTGAATTGTGAATTGAATGGAAGTTCTGAATTAAGAATGTTCTTGTTGTGAATGTAATGTTGTTGATGAAACCAGCTACGGAAAGAAAAAATGAAAAAAAACGTAAACGACTACCAGAGCGGGGAAAGACATTTTAATCACCGATGGCTTTCAGCTCTTCAACCCACATCCCTGACTCCAACGGTCTTACTTCCTCGTCTTAATATTACACGACTTAATTACATGTTTGCAAAATGAAGAGTTGCAGATATCTCTTTTGTGAGGATTGCATGTGGTTACATTTGTTGAAAATGTGTGTTCACCAATCAGAAGAATGTCCACAAGTGGTTCAAGTGATGCGCATTTCTTAAAGGGCCGGACAAACGGTATAATTACAAGTGAAAGTGTGCTTTTGGTTAGACAATGTGACTGTATTTTTTCTTTTTTTTTTATATTTTATAAAGAGACAAAGGCAATGTTAACACATTACCATATTTGATTGCACAGGTTTACAATGTAGTTATCCTCCAGTTCACAATATGATGGTCGAAATCTTTGATTCCAACGGGACATTTTTTAAGGCTCAATGTTCCCTACTGCTCTACTGATTATCTATGGTGCTTATTTATTATGGATTCCCATTATTGTAATGAATGGACATAAATAAAGGTGACAAAGAGACAAAAAGAGGTAGTTGTTTTAATAGATATCGGTAATCTATGACATGAGCGATTATCTAATTGCTTAAAGATGCAGATGACAGAATCTCACACTTCTGAGAAATTCTGTTGATTCTACATTTGGAGACTGAATTTGAAATGAACTGACCTTTTCTTTTACAAGGGGTCCATCATATGCAGCACTACCTTGCCCAAATACTGGGCACTACAGTACAGCCCATGATATCTCAAAATACACTGTGCAATGGTCAATTGTTTCATGTGTAAATACGTATTTACCAGGCATTTGCATCCACCAACCTCCCTTATTCGGTCTGTGGTTTGTTCAAACTGAAGACAAAAATCATTTAAACTGGGTCACAAATATACAATTTTCTTAATCTACAATAGCTGCCTTGTGGTTGTATCGCGCCGCCAATCAGTCAATTTGCTAAATGTCATCACTTCCATTATTTTTAGCCTATTAGACATTTGTGTGAAATTGTCATAATTAGCATATGGATTCTTGACAATGGGACGGACATGAATTCACAGTGACCAACAAAATGTAATCAGTTTGTCCTCGAGTTGATTTGGACGTAAACATAATGCCCGTCGAAAAAGCTGGGCACTGTGGTTGGTTTTTTTTTTTTTTAGCAAAGGTTACACCAACAGGAGTATATTTACATTTTACAGTATATACACATTTTATTCCAATTTCCTACAAGATTTAAATCCCATTAAATAACCCAATAATCCAATTTCATGGAGCTTTTTAATAATCTCCTGTTGTTACCGGTGCCATCAAAATGCCACTCAGCCGTACTGGGTTATGCTGTATGCATGTCTGCCTATTGTCCCTACAGGAAAGAGCGAAAAGAAACCACATACCACCAGAGATCAAAGTGTATTTTTTATTTTATTTGCAGTACATGATTTTTTTTTTTGTTTCTTTTAAGAGGTGGCATCATCAGATCCCAGTGCATGTATTCTAGAGGTGCACTTCTTCGTTGGTTGCGGTATTTTGGGACGCGCAGATCCAGGAATTCTTAAAACTACTTGCATGGCTGGATTCACTAGCAAACATAACAGACCAGCACCATACATATGATTTATTGTAGGTATTCACTCGTCTTTTTTTGTGTTTATTAACATTATTGTCCTCGCCACGTCCCAAAACGAACACCTGCCGGCCGCGTCGTGACTCAAAAGAACGTTCTGGTCTCAAGAGTCAAAGCTCCGGCCGACGGATCCGTTTGGTGGGCGAGACTGATTACGCAACATCATGACTATAACCAAGTCACAGAACTAAAATTGATCTTATTCATAAAAATAAAAAAAAGGAAAACATGGATTGACAGTACCAAACATTTTCTTTACCTTCAGGAGACAGCTAACAAAGGCTAGGCCCATCACACACTACGAGCACAGTTTGCTGAAGGTATTGCACATTTAGTTTCAAAAGAAAAGAAAACACCCCCCCCCCCCCAAAAAATACATATAACAATTCTCTTACTTCTAGGTGAAGTATACATAATGTACAAAACTAGAAGTCTGTTGAAACCGACAAATAGTACACTTTCAAATAAATAAATAATGGAATCTGTTATTCACACGTCTTCGAGAGCCAATTCTGCAGGCGACTAAGTAAATGCAAGAACGGGCAGAAATTCAGCGTGAGGTAGTTCATCAAAGCCGACTCGGATCAGAATTATAAGGTTTGGAGAGATGCGCTAATTATAATTTTAAAAAAGCAACAACAACCTAAGAAGAAGAAAGCGGAACTAAAGAGTCCCAATTGAAGCCCCCGATGTTAGGTTGAGGAAATTAAGAGCACTTTAGCCAACAAAAGATTCATTTTCAAATTGATTATTTTTAGCAAATATGACAAATGGGCTCAATAATACCACTGATGTTCACCCTGCTGTTGTTGCCTTCTCACAGATGTGACGCTGGTTTTTAAGTTTTGTTTGTCAAAATACTACTGCGCACTTACTGCAACAGCTGACTGCAGACTGAATGTAGTTGTGTACTAATCAGGCTCTGCGGTTGCTGCACTTTATCAGCCAAACATTTCCTTTTAGAACTCTGGTGACTGAAAAACGGCGCACGAGTCGGTGGCACTCGGTCAAACAAAGTGGAGGTTTACACATCACCAAATGAAAATGGGTTGCACCACTTAAACTAATTCTTACAAAGAACCAATTAGCCCGCTAATATATGAAATGTTAACCGTTAACTGTCAAAGCTATCTTTAACGTGTGCCTGCTAATTGATTACATTTTTGAAAGCGCTAATGCGTGCTAATACATTACCCGTTCAAATGTAAGAGTGGGAAAAGGTTATGTGATCGATAAAATGCTGTTTGATAATAATGTAAACTGTTTTTATAATGTGAAATAAATTCTACAAAATTAACAAAAAAATACATCGATTACAAAACGTGCGAATAATGTTCGACTGAATGACCAAATAAATGTGTGTAGACTTCTTATTCTAAAATATAAGGATATTACTAATTCTGAGACACACAAACTTCCATATATATATATATATATATATATATATATATATATATATATATATAATCATCAGAGTCACACTTACATTTACAAAAGGCAGATACATTTAACATATCTACTGATATATGTAGAAGTTGTGTTACAGCGCAGGACGCTATGGTAACTGTTTACACTAAGAACTGATCCGATGGCTTCTACCAACCAGTCATCTCACTGCTAAGGGTTCACTGTTTAAGATGCTCCTTAAGTTTGAATGGTGCAACCCCATCAACAAAATGATTAGTTAGGAAGGACGGACGGACACACACACAGTCATGGATTTACCAATAGCCCATGCAAGTCCAGAACTTGAAAAAGAGAAGGAGCCGCGACAGTAATTGACGTCTGTGTTCAGCCTCGTATCGCAAATTAGCTTTGAGCAGAACACACTTATGGAAGAGCAGGGCGGGCTCTAGACAAGGCCTGCTCGTGATCCATGACAGCACGACACGTCCCAGCTCTGCTCCTCGCAGACAGCAGGAGTAGCTATGCAAACACAATGGCTGCATGGAAGTTGAGCAAAAAGTGGAAAATAGCACGAGCTCCTTTGTTTTATTAATCTATGACCATGATATTCACCATCTTAAAAGGTCAACAAACCAGAACACAACCTAGAGAGCGTTCAGCTAATATGGCTTATTCAAACTTGAGTAACTACGGTTAGAGCATTTCTTATTCAGTTAGTACCGCGAACTCATTAGTGAGAAACCCCACAGTGCGTTTGGGTCAGCCTCTCACATACGTGTTGGGAACCGAAGCATCGATCGGAGACTCCAAAACCAGTTCATTCTCCTCTCTTACGATCATCACATTAAATTAGTACGACGAAAAGCCACTAAATAAAAGAAAAACCTAGATTCCGGTTGCTTCTCTGCACTTTGATGAAGGACCTTGATAAAACTGCCTTTTCCTCTGAAATGACTCAAACGCACACGTCATCGCCTTCTTACCCTGCAAGACACCAGAGTCTCCTGCTCGAGGGCCAAAAATCCAAACAAGTAGAAAAATATACAATACATTTGTGAGAACTACAACCCCCATCATACATTATTGATTTGATATGGAAACGACTATTGTTAACCAGATGCCATTAAAAACCTACAGAAAATGAAAAACACTTCCTCCCACGAACTCAGGAATGAATGACACGACAACAGGCACTTTTCCTTTCGACGCCAAAACAACAAAAAAAAAAACACTCAAAACGGGCATAATTATTGCATAACGTGAGAATAATCCGTTTCCTTTCACTGGTGGTTTGTGCTGCTAAGTTTTAGGTTCTTTTTTTTTTCTTCTCCACAATTGCAGGCAAGTCTGGTTCACTTGTAGTGTTTGGCCAACTTAAAAATAAAATCACTCAAATTTCCAAATCTGTAAAAGCACATTGCTAATAACAGGATGTGGCAGCAGGAGGCGGCCATGTTTTCACACTGCTCCATAAGGCTGCACAATCACTAATCCCAGCGTCGACACGTTCACTTGCCTTCTCAACATCACAACTCCCTACTTGACCGAAGCTCATTCTACTTACGCCGTCACCAACTGCTCAACCTCACACTACGTCTCGATAAACCTCCCAAAAAAAACACATTCTGGACCGTTAGCGGTACCTCGCTGTCAAAGCAATGCCAGTGGAGAATGTGAAAGCGCCTGCAGTAGACAAGAAGAGGGCCTTTAAAGCCCTTCAATTACAGAAGACGCTCATCAGAACAAAAGCTCCCAGTTATTATTGCGGGACCTAACCGTGCTATTCTCAATCCCTTAGTTCAAATGCAGAGAGTAAAATCAATCCTATGGCCAGTGAACATGTTTAAATCCTATCATGTCTGAACAGGAAGTCAATTATAAAGCTTTCATTAAATGTTACAATGTAGGAAGTAGTCATGACTCAAGAAATACATTTGTTTTTACAAGCAAATCGAAATGATCTCAGTTGATATTGATGGATATGTCATATGCACTTAAAACAATATCCCCATTATGTGAGATAGAACAGATAAGGGGAGTACTAAGACCATACATTTATCAATTTAATTATGTTTCAATGGCTCACTGCAAACTTGTATTGAAGGTAAATCTACATCTACCATGAAATCTGTACAAACTCAATCTACACGGATATGGCGAGTTGTGGAAGCAGTAGCTTACACGTGAAACGAATGGCGCTCAACAGAAGAAGAAAAAAAATAGATCACATTAAAAACATTTTACAGATATTTCTTTCAATTCTCACCGTCGGTTAATAAAAACCGGAACGTAGTGAAATCATAAAAATTCTCTTATCATCATCTTAGGTTTGTGAAAAATTAAGAAATGCCACAATAAATTACAGCAAGGACTCAAAGAAAAATAAATCCTAATTTAAAAAAAGACTGACTGTAAAAAAAAATTTCTGTCCTTTCAGAAATCAAAATATTTCTCCAACAGCTAGCTGACTAACTGCTACACTACTGAAGACAAGCACAGAGAGGGG